TTCTAGCTCATCCTCAGTGACACATCTACAGTACACCCCACTAACATGACTCCGTTTGAAGGAAAAGATCGCCTTCGCATCGCCCAGAAATACTGATAAGTGATAGAAATGTCCGGACCCACAAGGCACGCCCTAAAATGGAGGGAGCAAACCCAATCCCCGGTTCCAGGCGCCCCTCAAGACTGCCTTCGCCATAGCATCTGCATCACGATTATACTTCCGAGGTACATGCCAGAACTTGACGATTATTTCTTGTCTCTCCAAATCCTGAGTGAGAAGCTCAATCGCCTTGAAATGCTCCCAATTCGCCACATCCAGGCCCCTGCAGTTCTTCCAGCCATTCCTCTTCCATTTGGGGAGCCATTCAGTGATGCCGCGGACTAGATACTCCGAGTCGGACTTGATGACAACCGCGCTAAGAGCAATGCCTTGCTCCTCAAAGAGAGATTTAACGTGCACTACGTCCAGCAATGCTCTCATGCACGCCCGTAACTCGGCTACCTGGTTCGTGTGGTGGTTTTCTCCCTCAACAGGCACCGCGGTGTTCAGCACGTTGTTATGACCCCAGAACACCCCGTACGATGAGCGAGCTCCGTCTTTGCCGTTCTTTGAGCATGCTCCGTCAACTGCTACCACGACGTGGTCGCTGTGGCTCACATGAACTTTGCAATGTGGACACTTGCGTCTGGATCCTGGGCATGCAAGGTACACCCACGGTCCTCGAGGCACCTCGATGTCTGCCAGTGTGAAACGGTCTGGGTAGATGTTTTCAGGTCGGAAACGGAGGCCAGCACCTCGATGAGGTAGGGCATGCACTGATGACACAGATACCGGTCCCGAAGAAACAGAGGAACGGTCATCGTGACTGAAGAGAGTACTTGCGCCATGACTGAGAGATGAGTGCACACTGTGTGTGTCATCGGTATCAGAGTCCTGCTCGGTCTATATCAGTTAACCTTCTGAGGTGAAAACCCATCCACAGGCCTCGAATCTGCCATGGTCCTTGAGAATGGCATGCAAGCCGGTGTTGAAAGGGTCCTGCAATAACAGAGGAGCTAAAAGACATATCTTACATTGCGAGCACGATAGTTCATTCTCCTTTGCTGATAATTCCTAAGCATAGGCATATTGCTCAATTTCACCGTAAGCTTGTTGTACTGAAGTTGAAGCTGGAGAGAGAGAAAGATATGGAGTATATAGACGAAGGAGAAGAAAGCCTGGGAAGCGAAGAGAACGAGCAAACAAGCAGCGCGTCAGCGAGCATTAACAGATACAAAGCAATCCCCCAGTCCATAAGGTCCCTATCTGCTTTTCCTAAATAGGCAAGGACTCGCAAACGCCAGGCGATGTATCAACCTTGGGAGTCCTCGGACTAACCAGACAAGGATATATTGATTCCCGCGGTCCTCACGAACTCGCTGAATCCATCCATTCTGGTTGGTTGGTCTACAATGCGGACCAACTCTACTTCGATAAGATAATCGATAAGTGCTTTGGTCAGCTTCCTAAGGTACTCAGCACTCTGGGGTGAGAGCAAATTACTGGAAACAGTATAGCGTTCCTGTGCGGGAAAAGCGGCCTCTTGCCGCTTGGCCTTGACGTGCATGTTCTATAAAGTCGCACCCCATCACCGCTTCTACTTTGTTGCACACTCCAACGTTTTGTTTCCGCATTTTGTGACTGAGTGATTTTGATAAGGGCATTTCTGCCATTGCCCATTCATCATGCCGCGCGCATTGCGCCACCCCCTTCATCTGTTGGTGAATGTCGTAGTTGCACAAGAGACTGGCTAGCGTCGACATCACCAGTGTTCGCCAAGAGCGGTTGATAGGAACGCCGAACAAACTTCGCGAGTACTCAGAGAATCGGACTACGCTGCTCGCACAAGGGAACGTACCACTTATCGTCACCACATCGAGCAAGGAGATAAGTTTTCAAGATAGGCTATCGGGTGACGCCAAGGGCTTCAAACTGGCTTCTGTCTTCACTAGAGCAAAATGAGCAGTAAGTAATCCAGGCCATGTCCAGAGAGTCTGGTTAGAGACCATGCATCACCATGCCTGGCATCATGATCCACTTCCTATTGCTCCAGACGGGGCGGTGTTGGCCTTCTGATTCATAGTGCCTCTTAGCGTTGATCGGAGTCTCAAAACTTCCTAGCTTAATGTTATCTACAGCTCTGTTCCGAAGACATCGACTCAGTCAGATCGCTGCCTATATATACCTCTGGTACTTGACTCACTTGACTCACACGATCGTTCAAACTCAACAGAACTCAACGATCTAGGGGAAGGGCCCGGCCAATCGCATCCTCTGTGGCTCTGTCGTCAAGCTACCATACGATTGATCGTACCCTGAGCTTTTGCCTTCTGTAAAACGGCACATGTATGCTCAGTTGCTCGCCCAAAGTCGTCTATTCCAAAGTAGAAATTCAGGGTGACGAGGATAATGGCGCACGAAGAGCACAACATCAACTGGAACATTCTAGCTGCTAACTTCATCCATCGCTCTCCCTCCTACCCTGCGGCAGACCTAGCCTCCAATCTGTACTTTCGGTTCAAACCTACGCAAGGGCAGGAAATCGGCTCCTTTATCGAATCCTTCGTAAGGACTCTCGAAAAGCATACGCAGGACGAGCGCCTGAAATACCCAGATCGATACTCACCCTCCACGCMGGACGAGCTGGTCCTGAACGACCACGTGGCGGAGCAAATCAGCCCCCTCGCCCACCGATGGTGCAAGGCCTACGACTGGCCGCTGAAGGATAAGATCCAGAAGACAGAAGGGCTGTGCCGACATGCCGACAGCGAGAGCTTTGCGTGTGGGTGTTCCCTGCCCTACCACGAACGGAAGGGGGCCGCTTTCCAGCGGTCATACAGTTACAACAGTTGCTACAGTTTTTTTACCGAAAACGCCGAGGCGTTCTACAATTTGCAGGTGCTGAACGCGCTTCTTGTTCTGGGGGAGATGGATACGGTGCTGCGACTGTGCGCGACACCAGATAACAATCTACATGAGTCGATGTTTGTGCGGAGTTGTGGATGTGATGTAAGTAGGCGTATTTTTCTGGCCTTTTCTTGCCGTCCTTCATTAATATTAAAAAAAAGGGGCAGCTTGTCTGACTGATTATAGAGCCCGGATCGTGGCTGGGACCAAGTCTTCGAAGCCGCTCTAAATATCTACCTCCTTCTCAACATACTTTACTGCTTTCCCGAGCTCTGGGACCCAGCCTCCCGGCAAGCCCGAAACAAGAAACGGACTGATGAGTACCGCGCCACGCGGATGTATCAGCAGACTGTCAAATTCTGGACCCAGGACGAGTCGGTAAGCGACGTCTCCCGCCACCCTCACCGGCAATTTTTCGGCCTGGATGGCCATTTCGGCTACGTACTACACGTCTCGCGCGGTTGGGACCGGCCGGTCCTTGCCCAGCTGCGCGAGAAGGTGGCAAAGAGCGGCTGGGGGCCGGAGTCCACGCCAGAACAGATCTCGGTGCTCTACGTAGGCGACGAAGGTTTCCCCTACGGCAAACTGCCTTTCGAGGAGTTCTTAGCTTGCGGGAAGCGGGGAGCCGCGGCCGGCCAGCATCAGACCCGAAGCGCGGTCGACGTGGCGCGGGTTGAAGCGTATCTTCGGGCGACAGGGTTGCCGCAGGAGCTGGTTCTGCAGATCACAGCCTGCACAGAGTATGATCGATCGCGTCTGGGGCTCCCGGTGCCGCATGATCCGCTTCATCGACGGAACCGGAGGTACCTACGGCGGCATTTGGACTACTGCTGGCGGATTATGGTCCACTGCAATATGCTGGCGCGGGAACTGGGCACTAGGATCGACTGGGAGCTCCGGGTGGTCGAGGCGCTGGACAGCATGGTGTCGAGTCCGGCGGGGATGAAGCTATGTGAACGTGAGGCGCACGAGTCGGGTGAATTTTGGCAGACGACCCTGAGAGGAGGGAATGGTGAGCTTGCGTACAGTATCCCGTATATTTAGGACTAGACTGCGGCAAAGCAGGACGGGTCGGTCGATCGATCCACTTATGTACATATCACTATCAATGATAATCCCATGGCGAGCAGTCGTTACTATAGGCTTTTTGAACTGGGCTCTCTGAAGTAGGAGCAACGCCTGGTCGCCGGCGATGTGAATATATGCAATTCCTCCAGACATGCTTTGGAAATGTCCGTGAATGGAGTACGCAATATCTTATCAGAGGAACCTGCGAGCTGGATTGGTTCTCCAATATTGCTCAAAAGCATATATACATATTCCATTCCTCACCTGCTTCAAGCACCTACGACAAACAGGGTATGGAAAACCGGGCTTCCCATCCGCCAGCCGTTCTAAAGCCATAATATAATTATCAACGCAGTCGGAAGTCATATGCGCCCTTTCAGGCTTGCAACTCGATCATGAACTTCAGGCCTCGGGAGGAGGATTCAAAATATACCTTTCAATGCCAGTAATCAAACCATTGCCTGAAGGCTTGGTCGAATCTACTCCGTAAATTGGAGACCTATTGGCTGCAGACTGCAGTCCCCAAAATAGACTCTGCACTAGTCGCATCCCACCGCCGCAAGAGTAGAGCTGAAGGATGGAGTACCTTGTTGGTGGCTTTCCAGAGCCAATACAACCATAATTATCCGTCAAAACTACTGTCTCGAGGGCAATCAGTCTTCCTTCCAATGAGACGTAACCCTACGTGCTTATGTGTATCGTGGACAATCAGGACCATAATATCATTGTCTACAGGAATCACGAACGCACATAACCCACAGATCCGAGGATCAATAAAGTACAGAATAAGACAGCTGGCCGAGGTGTATCAAAAGAGACCGCAGTGAAAAAAAGACACCGGATAAAGGGCACAGACAGGACGAAGATACCTACGGGGTACATGTAAGCCATACAGAGAACGATCCTTTCCCGCATTCCAAACTCAGCATGCTTTGCGACAATCCMTTGAGGTGAGGTGACAATATCTTTTAGTAAAAGTACTGAGCTCAAAGACTTGGAGACGCGGTTGTTGAGCGAGAAGTTGCTGGTTCTTCACCGTAGACTTCAAGGTATTCTTGGCGGTACCGCTCACGATCCTCTTCCGCTTGTCTGAGGTATTTCTAGAAGGGCTCTGTTAGCTTCATTGATCAATGGTTCACGGCTGCCGGCGGAAAGACAAATTCAAACATACCTCCTTCTCCGTAGATGTCAGGCCTTTCCATTCCTCTGTTACGCGCACTGCGATATCCTTGGCCTTCATATATTTGAAGTCGCCCTCGGCAGTCCGGTCCAGCATGTAAAGCAGGTATGCCGTACGAGGCCGCTTGACCTGCCGATCGTCACGGAGAAGTCGAAGAGATGTGTTCTTAATCTTGTTGAGTCTGCGGCGTGCTGCATTGGCTTCTCTGATCTGAAGAGGAGTGTGCTGTTGGATCCATGCGTCATAAGCTGCCGCATTGGCAGCTTTATTGGCTTCTGCTTCGGCCGCAAGACGCTAAACCGTAGATCATCAGTGACTGTACAGTGGTGGGTTGATCTATCCCGAACGTACCTCACGCTCGTCTGCGCTGATCGACTGTGCGAGTTGGGAACATTGCGCGACAAAGTCTGGTCCTTTGACGCCGCGTGCGTGAATCTCTTTGGCCACCGTTGCGATAGCGAGATTCCAAGGATTCTCTATAAGTTTCTTGGGAGGTTCCAGCGCTGTCTTCTTGAGCTGCTTGACCAGTTCCTTCAACTTCTCGGCTTTCTTGGCTTCCTTCTGCTTGTCTGTCATCTTCTTGCGGGGCTTCGGCTTAGCTTTAGCTTTAGCTTTCGAGCTGCTTTTCTTCGTGGTCTTCGTCTTGCCAGTTTTGGATCCTTTCGCCCTTGTTGTCTCGGTCTCATCATCGTGAGTACTTGTAGTCGCAAAGGAGTTGATTAAAGGGCGCGATAGAATGACTGAAGGACGAATTGTTTTCGCAGTCGAGTTCACCAGATGACGGTTCGTAGAGAGACAAATGCGTCGGACAAGGCCATTGGCGATGGCCACGCGAGAGGGACGAACCAAGGCATTGCTCCGATGAAGGTATCGGAGGATGCCTCCTCCGCCTTGGATTATATTTCGAGGCATGATTCTAAGACTCAAAGCGAAGTTACGCGCACCAATGTCTCAAGGGTCGACGTGGAAAGAAATACAGGAATCGCAGTAAAGATGGGCAGGTCGTCCTAGCTAAGCAAGAGCTCTTGTCTGTAGTGGTTACCTAGCCACAGATGAAACCGGGGGGCTGGGTCACGTCCTTGGTTCGTTTGGGGTATTCCGAATTGGGACTGGTAGATCACGTGATGTAGATCCTACGTTGCATCACGTGAGACGTATTGCGGGCATTGACTTGACCCTACTTCAAGATAGACTTAAAGGAAGAATTGCAGCCCGAGCGGAAACCAATCACTTACATCGCCACCAACTCACTACTTACCAGTGCCGATTATTGATTACCCGTCAACAACAGTTCAACAGCCGATGGAAGGGTAATAAATTGCTTTACTTTTCTGACTACGTGCTCGAGTTCTTTGGAGTCTCAGTAATACTCACTCATCGTTGGCCTGCAACAATGGCTCGCCACGGGGATACTCGCTCACCATCACCTGTAGGCAGCACATACTCTTCATCCAGACGGAGTCGCAGAGATGATGATCGCTACGAGAAGAGCAGGCGAGATGATGGGAGGAGTTATCGAAGATCTCGTAGTCCTGAGGTATGTTCCTTGCCGCTTCAGTCGCTCAATTTTGGTTTCTGTATCATTATCCTAACTTCACAACTTCCACAGAGACGATACCGCGACCGTGACCGCGATTCATACCGGAGACGTGACCGCTCCGTAGACAGACGCGACGATCATCGGGATGAAGATAGCTATCGACCAAGCCGGAGGGATCGCTCTCGCGAACGACGTCGATCAAGAGATAGAGGCGATGACCGGGATCACCGCCGGAAAAGTCGCGAAAGAGATTATCGAAGCAGGCGAGATGATTCCCGCGACCGGGCTCGGAGGCGAACAGACGATTCTGCTGACTTGAAGCACAAGTCTAGACGGGACGATAGTCGGACGAGGAACCTGGATTCCAAGTCGCGAGAGGTAAGTTCGATTCCTCGTGCTTTTGAAAATACCTATGAATCTGATGCTGATAAGTGGATAGACATCGAAGCCATCCACCCCTGCGCCCGCGGCTCCAACCGAGGACGAGAAAAGAGCTGAAAGGCTGGCAAAATTGGAGGCCTGGAAGCAAAAGCAAGCTGCTGAGAGAGAACGGAAGCAGCGCGAAGCCGCTGCAGCTGGCGGAGCAAGAAGTATCTTGGAAGAGATAGATAGAAAGTCGGGTCTATCACCGGCTGTTAGCTCTCCGCAGTCTCCCGCGACGCCTACCACAGATGCCACTCCTGCTCCGTATTCTGGGAAATTTGACCCAAAGGCTATTGTACGAAATGCGGCACCAGCCCCAAGTGCACCGGCTGTGCTTGGTAACGATGTCGCCGTTCCTCAGGCTGCCAAAGCGTCCGCTTCCTTTTCCTCCATGAATAATCATGTACAAGCTAACAAACCTCCAGCCGCCAACAGCACTACTTCATGTAAGTCATCTATTCCCATCATAAGACTGTTTTTCAAATTGCTAATCGTATCTTGTGTAGCTACGTTGACAGCAAAACGGAATGTTGGCGGTTTTGGGTTAGGGGCCAGGCAGGTTGCAGATGCGGAGAAATCGTCGGCTGTTAAGACTCTCGGTTTTGGTGAAGAGGAATCCAAACGAAAGAAATTGGAGCGTTTACCGACCCCTCCACTAGAGGACGCGAAAGATGAGACGGCGGCTGCGGATGCCGCCGTAGAGGATGAAGATGATGTCGACATGCAGGACGGTGGGACTGAGGAGGAGAATGCGGCTGCCGCTCGAGCTGCTGCGGAACGGCGTGAAGAACGCTTGCAGAGTGAAGCTCTGCGGGCCCAGTCAAAAGAGGATGCGCCTCAAACCAACGGCGACGTCGAGATGAATGACGTCCCTCACCAAGAAGAATCCGAGAAAATGGAGGTCGACGCAGCGGAGGAGGAAGTTGACCCACTAGATGCTTTCATGTCGGAACTGGCCGAGACCGCTCCGCCAAAGAAGACATCTGGCGCCAGATTTGCCAAAGCGAAGGAACAGCAGCCCGAGGCGATCTTCGGCGACGAACACGATGTGGATTTGACCGCTGTGGGCGAGGGTGACGCTGATGACTTTCTTGCGATTGCTAATAAAGCTAAGAAGAAGAAGGACATCCCGGCCGTTGACCATGAAAAGGTGGGATACGAGCCCTTCCGTAAGAAGTTTTACAATGAGCCCTCCAACTTGGCTGAAATGACCGACGAAGAAGCTGCCAGCTTGCGGCTGGAACTTGACGGAATTAAAGTGCGCGGAGTTGACGTGCCCAAACCAGTTATGAAATGGTCCCAGTGCGGGTTGGGCGTGCAGACTCTGGATGTTATTCATAGGCTCGGCTATGAGAATCCCACCTCAATCCAATCACAGGCCATTCCTGCGATTATGTCTGGCCGCGATGTGATCGGTGTGGCCAAGACTGGATCAGGTAAAACAATCGCTTTCCTGATTCCTATGTTCCGACATATCAGAGACCAACGGCCGCTGGAGAACATGGAAGGACCTATTGGCCTTATCATGACACCCACACGTGAGCTTGCGACTCAGATCCACAAGGATTGCAAGCCCTTTTTGAAGGCGTTGAATCTTCGGGCCGTTTGTGCTTATGGCGGTGCTCCCATCAAGGACCAGATTGCCGAACTGAAGCGTGGTGCCGAGATTGTTGTGTGTACCCCGGGACGGATGATTGACCTTCTAGCGGCGAATGCGGGCAGAGTCACTAATCTGCGAAGAGTCACTTATGTTGTTTTGGACGAAGCGGATCGCATGTTTGATATGGGCTTCGAGCCCCAAGTCATGAAGATCATGGCCAATATCCGACCCGATCGACAGACCGTGCTGTTCTCGGCCACCTTCCCTCGGAACATGGAGGCTTTGGCCCGTAAGTCGTTGACCAAGCCGATCGAGATTGTTGTCGGTGGCAAAAGCGTTGTCGCGCCTGAGATCACCCAGATTGTGGAGGTGCGCAACGAAGACACAAAGTTTGTACGACTATTGGAGATCTTGGGCAACTTGTACTCGGATGACGCCAACGAAGATGCACGTGCTTTAATCTTCGTTGACCGCCAAGAAGCTGCGGATACTCTCCTTCGAGAGCTGATGCGTAAGGGCTATCCTTGCATGTCCATTCACGGAGGGAAAGACCAAATTGATCGAGATTCTACGATTGAAGATTTCAAAGCCGGAATTTTCCCCGTTTTGATTGCCACCTCTGTCGCTGCCCGAGGTCTAGACGTGAAGCAGTTGAAGCTCGTTGTCAACTACGATGCGCCGAACCATCTGGAAGACTACGTTCACCGAGCCGGACGAACTGGTCGTGCTGGCAATACGGGAACTGCAGTCACGTTCCTGACCGAAGAACAAGAGCGATATTCGGTGGATATCGCCAAGGCTTTGAGGCAGAGTGGACAGAAGGTGCCTGAACCCGTCCAAAAGATGGTCGATTCCTTTTTGGAGAAGGTCAAAGCGGGCAAGGAGAAAGCCAGCGCTTCTGGATTCGGAGGAAAGGGTCTAGAGCGCCTCGATCAGGAGCGAGATGCAGCTCGGATGCGAGAGCGACGGACATACAAGACAGGCGAGGAGGGCGAAGACGAAGAAGAGAAGGAAGAGAAGGCCGAGAAGGCGGACGAGCGGTTCAACAAAGCTGTATCCTCGGTGCAATCTGCCGCTGCCGCCGCCGCCGCGGCGACAACCTCCTTGCCTGGTGTTCCCAAGGGTATCGATCTTGATGGCAAGATTACGGTCCACAGGACCGAGAAAGACCCGGCGGCAGCGTCGAAGAACCCATTGGACAAGGTGGGCTCGGCGGTCGCTGATATCCATGCCCGTCTCAGCCGTGCTGGAGTCATGCGGTCTGGCGTGCCGATCGATAACCGCGGACCTGACGCGGGAGCTTTCCATGCAACCTTGGAGATCAACGATTTTCCTCGTAAGTTATTCCCTGTAATAGTCAGTCAGAGAGCCGTTGCTAATATGTTTCCGCACTACAGAAAAAGCTCGCTGGGCCGTTACCAACCGTACGAATGTGGCCAAGATTCTGGAGGCTACTGGCACCTCTATCACCACCAAAGGAAGTTTCTATCCTGCTGGCAAGGAGCCTGGACCGGGCGAGAACCCGAAGCTGTATATTCTTGTTGAAGGCGAAACGGAACTCTCCGTGACGAATGCCATGCGGGAGTTGATGCGCTTGCTCAAGGAGGGCACCCTGGCCGCGGCGGATAGCGACGCGAGAGCACCAGTGGGAGGACGATACAACGTTGTCTAAGACTATACCATTTACCTGGTTGTATCATATTTGTTATGATTTGATGTTTATAGACATACATTGCCAATGTCTCGGTTCATAATGTGCAAGCGATATACGCATGAGTAAACAAACAGCAAGATCTATACAGTGATATTACGCCAAATATACTCCAAGAAACACCAACAAGTTCAGCGTAGGTCGCGTAGTTCGAGGACTTCTGTCGCGCTAATTCCACCTCCTCGCCTCACTCGATTCATCCATATTTCTAGCAGCAGTCTGCTCCCTACTCACTTCGCTCAAGGTCTGCGCCTGCGTCTGAGCCTTTTGCGCCGCAAGTTTCGACCCTAATTTCCCCTTTTGCGCACCCGCCGCCGACTCGGCTCGTTTCTTCGGTATCGTCGAGTCAGCCAGCATCCTTAAAAGACATGATATCTCCAGTAGGGGCTGTCACTCACCTGCGCCGCAATCGCAGCATTCGTCCGCGCATCAGCCCTCTCCGCATCTGGAACCTCCGGCGCAGTCTCGCCTAGTGTCCTCCCGGGTGACTTGAACGGCGCCTTTGATTTCGCGGGGAGCGGGGCGCGCGGGGCAGCGTTGGGCGGGGGATTGGCGGCTGAGCCGAGGACGCGGCCGGGGCGGGAGAAGGGCTCGGCTTCGTTTTTGGAGGTGGAGCAGAGGTTTCCCATTTGTCGGGA